TAAAGAAGTGGTTCTCAACCTATGGGTCAAGACCATTTTGACAAACCTCTATCTCCCAAAATATTTACATTCATAACAGTAGCAAAATTACAATTATGAAGTAGTAATGAAAATAATTTTATGGTTGGGTTACCACAACATGAGGAACTATATTAAAGGGTCACAGCATCAGGAAGGTTGAGTTCCAGTGGTCTAGAGGAACAGAACGTACAGAAGGAATAGGTATTAGAATGGCTTACAGGCTGTGGTCCAGCTAGTCCAACAATGGCTGTCTACCAAAAGAAGATGCAAGAATCCAGTTCAGTCCACAAGACTGGATGTCTCAGCTGATCTTTGGTATATACTAGAATCTCAAAAGAAGTAGGCTCTAATACCAGCTAAGGTATGCACATGTCAGTGAGACTGAGGCAAGCTTCCTTCTTCCATTTCCTTTATATAGGCTGCCAGCATAGGGTGTAACCCAGATTAAAGGTGGCTCTCCCTACCTCAAAAAAAAAAAAAAAAAAAAAAAAAAAAAAGTGGATTAAAAGTGAGTCTTCCCACTTAAATTGATTTAAAACAAAACACTCGCTCATATGCCCAGCCATTTGGGTTTTAGTTAATGCCAGATGTAGTCAAGTTGACAATCAAGAATAGCCATCACACAGTGTCTGGAGCTCACTGCCTCCCAGTGTTGAGATTAAAGGGTGTGCTATCACACCTGAATTATAAATCTAATTAACCTAAATCAACAACAACAACAACAAATGGGGAGTCAAATATTGGGGTAAGAACATGGAAGATCACTGAACCAGGAGCTTCCTGCCTGTCCCCTTCCTGCATCCAAAAAAGGTTCAGATCCTTCTCCATTCTACCTGATCACTTCCTGTCTTCACCTCCTGAGTGCTGGGATTAAAGGTGTGAGCCACCATAGCCCAGTTTCTGTGGTTAACTAATGACTAGCTCCACCCTCTGATTACCAGGCAAACTTTGTCAGAACACAAAGTATCACATAGTACACACCAACCTCAGTTGCTATATAAAAGCCCCCAGTTTTGACCCTGAGATCAGGCTAAGTGTGTGGTTCACCAAGAAACAGGACAAGATTTTCTGGTAAGGAGACATGAGTACTAACTATATGGCTGGCTAATCCCTACTTTTTTTTTTTAAGATTTATTTATTATATATATAGTGTTCTGTCTTCATGTGTGCTGCAAGTCAGAAGAGGACATCAGATCTAATTACAAATGGTTGTGAGCCATCATGTGGTTGCTGGGAATTAAACTCACAACCTCTGGTAAAGCAGCCAGTGCTTTCAACTACCTAGCCATCTCTCTAGCCCTAGCTCCTACTTCTAAACTACTTTATTTTCTTTATTTATTTATTAGAACTGCCTGATAAAGAGAGATGAAAATGGTTACTCTGCAGTGGTAGCTGATTTTGGCCTGGCTGAGAAGATTCCTGATGCTAGGTGAGTAACCCTAAAGACCATAGGCAATAGTCAAAACCAAGGGTAAATCCAGCTGCTTTTCCAAACGTCAGAACCCAGACACAGTTCAAGTTCATTTTTTGACTTGACCCCTCTAAGCGTATACCCACTCTTGGGAACAGCAAAACCCAAACAGTCAAAAGATCTAATTGTGTAGTCAAGCATGGTGGCACACACCTGTAATCCTAATACTTTAAGGGAAAGGCAGGAGGATCCCTGCAAATTTGAGCCCAGTAAGGGCTTTGTGAGCCTGTCTCAACAATACAGACTCAAGAGCTGAGAATACTGTAGTTCAGTTAGTGTAGTGTTTTGTTGCACAAAGCCCTGAGAAAATTCCAGCACCAAGCCAGTCATGGTAGTGCATTCCTGAAGTTTCAGAATTCAGGAGGTAGCTGGAGAATCAATAGCTGCAAGTCATCCCCCATTATGTATAGTCTAGGCTATGTGAAACCTTGTCATTTTTTTGTTACTTCCCATTGTGTCAGTCAGTAACCAGCAAGCTGTCTTCCTTTACTTCACAGTACAGGAGGTGAGAAGCTGGCTGTAGTGGGCTCACCTTTCTGGATGGCACCTGAGGTTCTCCGAGATGAGCCTTACAATGAGAAGGTAAGTCTGGAGATTTCAAGGCCTGATTATCTTTTGTGGCCCAGGTAAGGAGCTGTATCCTGCTTGCTAAATATAGGGCTAGCATGTCACTGTTAGCAAGTGGATGACTTGAATGGAATATGGGTAATGTAGCCCAGACCTAGGCTGTTAAGAAGTGGGGGAGGGGCAGGGAAGATAACCCACTCCTTACTTCATGAGAGGAAAACTGAGGTCTGACCACCTACCAGGCAGATGTGTTCTCTTATGGTATCATCCTCTGTGAGATCATCGCCCGCATCCAAGCTGATCCAGACTATCTTCCCCGCACAGAGGTGAGCCACCAGCATGGGACAATCACCACAGGGATAGGGTTGGTTTGGTTATGGAACTGTTTTATCCTTGGGGTGGAGTTACTGGAACTAATCTGTAGCTACTTCTTATGCAGTTCCCAGCCTCTTCTGAATAGCCCAGGATAAGTGTGTATGATTAATGACTTATCTATTCATGTCCCTTGTACACTTATTTCTCCACTTAATTCATCCACAGAATTTTGGGCTGGATTATGATGCTTTCCAGCACATGGTGGGAGACTGCCCCCCAGAGTTTCTGCAGCTTACCTTCAACTGCTGTAATGTGAGTGTCTTTACCTGGCTTTGGTCAGATGCTGAGTCCTTTTCATTTGGTTAGGACTATAGGGAAAGGCTACAAATTAGTTTCATAAGGGGCATGGCATCATATTCCCCAGATGTGTAGCACCAAGCATATTTCCTACTCTGGCCTGTACAGGCTCTCCAGAGTGCCCTGAACCAAAGGGGGGAAAAATAAAAAATAAAACACCTTGTATTTTTTAGTCCTTAGCCTGCAGGGTAGACCCATAGCTGGGCCCTGAATACTGACCAAGCTTTGCCAAGTTTTCTTTGTTGAACTATAGCACCAGTCAGTCCTAATGCAAAAGAAAACTTTAGTTACCCAACCTGAATCTAAGATACCAGGAAGAGATTCAGATTTCATCTTTGGGATGAGAAGTGCAGCACAGGGCTTATGGCTGGTATGGATGCCTACAGATGGACCCCAAACTTCGACCATCCTTTGAGGAGATTGGAAAGACCCTAGAGGAAATTATGAGCCACCTACAGGAAGAAGAGTTGGAAAGGGGCAGGAAGCTGCAGCCCACAGTGAAAGGTAAGAGATCAGATACTCAAATCTGACCTGAAGGGAGGAGTGAGACTGTAAGACAAGTGGGGGTGGTGGTTATGGACCATAGAATACTAAGTTGTCTTATAGCTGTGACTTGGTACATTGCTCCCCTGTTTTCTCATTGATGAAATGGGACAACTATCTCTCTTTCCTCAAGAGAAAAATATAATGAAGTGTTGTTTATATTGACTGAGAGTAACTCAGGCTTACTGATCTTCAGGACTGGAGAAAGTGTCTGGAGGGAAACGACTGAGTTCACTGGATGACAAGATTCCCCATAAGTCTCCACGCCCAAGACGTACTATCTGGCTGTCTCGAAGCCAGTCAGACATTTTCTCTCGTAAGCCTCCACGTACAGTCAGTGTCTTGGACCCCTACTACCAGCCACGAGATGGTGCTACACGTACTCCCAAAGTCAACCCTTTCAGTGCACGACAGGACCTCAAGGGTGGCAAGATCAAATTCTTTGACCTGCCCAGCAAATCTGTCATTTCCCTTGTATTTGACCTGGATGCACCAGAGCCTGGAACTACACCCCTGGCTGATTGTCAGGAGTCTTTGGCCATGTCTTCCAGACGGTGGCGTTCTTTACCTGGTTCGCCTGAGTTCTTGCGTCAGGCTTGTCCATTTGTGAGCTGTGAAGAATCACTATCTGATGGGCCTCCACCACGACTCAGCAGTCTCAAGTATGGAGTAAGAGAGATCCCACCATTCCGGGCATCTGCACTATCAGCTGCTTCAGTCCATGAGGCCATGGATTGTTCTAACCCCCAAGAAGAAAATGGTTTTGGATCCAGGCCCCAGGGGACTAGCCCACGTGTTGAAGCTGCCTCTGAGGAGATGGAGGTGGAAGAAAGGCCACAAATGGCTCCTGTCCACTTCTCTATCTCTGGAATAAGCTTGCAAACCCAGGGAGAGCAGGATGGGTGAACTGGGTTAGGACTAGTTCCTGCCACACCACAGGAATGGACCTTTTAGCTGAAATTGCTGAATCCCCTTGGTGCACAGCCTGGCTCTTCCCTGGAGCCCACAAAGCAGGCAGGCTGAGGAAAGCCTGGCTTAAAAATTGGGCTTTCAGTGCCCAATGGCTGTAATATGAGGTGTTTCAATGGTTAGGACCAACCTAATTCTAAGCCTCTGAAATCCAGCAAGGAGCTCTGGCTCCCACTGACTGCAGTGCATGTCCTAGACAGGACCAAAGGACTTAGCTCCAGGCTGAGCTGGCAGGCAGCTATGCAGCTAATACCAGTTCCTTTCCTATCCTAGGTTTCTTGTGCCTATTCTGGGGCACATAAGGTACAGGATGGAAACTGAGGCTGTAAAGGGCATGGCTGTTTCTCAGACTGAAGACTGGGATGCTTCTTGCCAGTATGTCTAAGACACTTGAATAATTGCTGTTTGCACTTACTGTATGGTCAGACCACATCACTACATCTCTATGCAAGGGAGAGACTAGGGATGTGGTGGTCAGAGATCTTTTAGCTAACCTATTCAAAGACCTTTCCAGTTGATTAATCTATTTTCGTATTTATAAAGAAGTCTTAATGTTTTGCCTCCAGACTTTCAACCTTGGTGTTGGGAGTGGGGCTGGTTTTGTAGGCCCCAGGGCCTGCACTGTGTATGTGTCAACAGGTGATACAACCAGTAGCTAATGTATTATATATACTTGGACTGATTTTTCTCCCTGCTACAGCTGGAGCTTTGGGACCAGTCTGTCCTTACAGAGTCGCAATAAGAAATAACCAAAGAATGAAGTTGGTCAAATATTTTCATCATTTCTGTTGATTTTTTTTTTTCTTTCGTAAAACTTTTCCCAAGACACTTTCAGATTAAAAAATAAAGTTGATGTTGCGAGTACTAGTTAGCCTTATTTTTACCCTTGGGTCAGGCCTCTGTATAAGAGAAAATAGTGAAGTGCTCACTGTCTCTGCCAGTACCTGCTCAACAACTCTGTAGTACTTAAAGGTGACACATACAGGCTAACAACTCAAATGACTTCCTTTTTTTGAGATAGGGTTTTGCTATATAGCTCTGGCTGACTTGGAATTCACTATGTAGGCCATGAAATTGTAGCAGTCCTCCTGCCTCAGCCTTCAGGTACTGGGATGACAGACACACCCACACTGCCAAACATCTCTCTCCTAGGCCTATGGCCAGGCAGATACTGAGTCAGCTGCTGCTCCAAGCCAGCTTCATTTTCTGGTTGTGGGCTTTAGAAGAATGAGAAAACTGGCTCTTGGCCACTGTGAGGGGTACAGTTTTGCCACTTAGATACACCTTGTTGTGACATTCAGGAAGCCAGGGTCCAGAACTGCAGAGTTGAGGTCCCTGGCTCAGTCCCACATAGGCCATCACATAACCTGTCATAAAGGCATCAAAACCAGCACGATGTAATCCATCCCCAGGCATAGGATTAGGACTGGCTTGACTCACAGGCAGTTCTGAGATAGCCACATCAGCTGTTTCAGAACCTGTTGCCTTATGCTCCATTTCTAAGTCACTTTTGTGACCTTGCTTGGAGTCAAGCTCATCCCTAGTTTCCCTCTCTGTTACTCTTTGTTCAAGTTCTTGTGTCTTGAGGTTATCTTCACAGACCTGCTTTGTGGGGGGACCATCATCAGCTTCCTCAAAGTTCTGTGTTCCTAGCTGGCTCAGCAAAGCCCTCCTCCGTTTGTCCTTACGTCGCCGCCGACGCCGCTTGTCCTCTGCTACAGCCTCATCAGTGTCAATGATAAGATCAATATCGTGTGACTGAGGACACTGAGGTCCTAGAGGGCACCAGCCATAGGCCTGGAGGTTGGAAAGAGGCTAAGAAGGGGTTCCATACATCAGAGCCTCCCCTCCCCAAGACATGGATGAATGCTCTCACCGAGAACTTGTCGCAGATGCTGGTGGTGTGAGAACGACGGTAGGTTACAGGGGACAGACAGCATCGGTAGTCAATATGGCCTCTCATGCTAGATGGATAGCTGCAGAACTCCAGGACAAGATGTGGGGTGCCAGCTGCCCGCCGCTTCCCATTTTCCCGCTCACTGCAACAGCGCAAGAGGGTATTGCGCCACTAGTGTATAAGCGCCACGAGAACAAGGGGGGGGTTGTGTTTTGTTCACTGCTGAATCCTCAGCACCTAAAGACAGTGCCTAGCATATGGTAGGTACTTGATAAACAATCTTAGGTGAATGCAATAGGTTCATACCAGGCCCCACCCCTTCCCCTCAACCATGTCCTCACCATTTCCGGAAAGCATATTCTAAGTAGGAAGCTACAAAGCGGGCATGAAACTCTGCAGCATATTTGGTGTCATAAATGCCTGCTGGGAACATCTCACACAGGTCAGCAGTGAAGGTTCCCAAGTTCTCAGGCAAGTGTGCGTAGAAGTTCTGGTACAGGAACACCAGGTCTATAAGGCCATTATGTAGCACCAAGGGCCGACGGGCCCGAATCAGTTCAAGGAACAACGTTCGTACTGACTGGCTCTGGCTTTCATCGCCCTAAGGGGAAGGGAAGGGGTCAGTTGGAAGAACATTACAGCACATTTACCCCAGGTTTCCCACTTGGAAAGTACTACCTCATTGTCTAACCCAAGCTACCCTTCCTTGAATGTCTTGTTTCCCTAACCTTGTCACCAATGACTCCCCATATTCACAAACAGATACGTTCTCCAGGCGTCAGCTCATGGTAGCAAGAAATAAGGCAAACAAAATACACACTCAAGACTAGAGAAGCTGGAGCCCTACCTTGTCATTGCCCTTATGGTAGGGGATTCCCTGAGCATACTGCCGGTTGAAATTGAAGCCATGCTGTACCAGGAACTGCACAGACTTTGGCTCTATAACATACTCCTCCATGCATAGTAGGGTGAGATTGAACACTTGGGTCAAGTAAGAATTTTCACCCTGAAAAACAAGAAGGATCTGTTCTAACAAAAGTCAGGAGGAAAAACTCATAACACTCTCCAGCACACCTCAACCTCTTCTACTCCATGGTAGCTCATACCTTATCTGCCTGATGCTTAAAACAGGCGAGGCCCAGGGACAGAACAGAGCGGGTCCTGGCAGCATGACACACTGCCTTGTAACGTTCCTCGATGCACCTTAGAGTTGGATTGGAGCATAGCTGTGGCTGAGTTAGTTTCACAAAGGGCCCAAACTACCCAGGGCTGGGACTCTCCAACCCTGGATTGAGATTTACACACTTGTTAGAGCTGGGATTAAAGAAAAGGCTTATACTTACTGGTTCAGCAAACTCTTCCTGTCCCCCAGCCCACTCAGCTCCTATGGATAGGTAAAGGACTGTAATTATTCCCCACACCCACCAAACCTTTCACAACCACCTGTCCTCCCTGTTTTCTGTGCCTCACCGTATCCACAGCCACAAAGCTAGCTGTCTTTAAGGCCAGCAAAAGTGATGGCCATATCTCTTTGAAGTTGTCACTCTGTACATCCACCACAGGAACTCGTATTACAAATTCCTCCGCAGATTTTGTGTTTTTGTTGACACCACCTAGGGATAAAGATAGTGATGGGTTTTCATGTTCCCATAAGGTCCCAGTGGATCAGACACCAAGCTAGATGTAGGAGAGCGGTTGCCCATTGACAAGCGTTTTCCTAGTTTTGAGTTTGCCTTCACTGGCTCTACACAAAAGCCTTGGAGTGGACAGTGCCCTAAATTTGCAAAGAGGGCTTTACGTGGGACTGGGAAATCACTTCCTTTTTTGCCATCATAATCAGGAGGGAGGTAGACAACCTTTGAGGATTCTTTATTCTGCAAGCCTGTAATTCCAGGACTAGGGAGCATAAAGCTGAAGGACCTTGAGGTTGAAGCCAGCCTGAGCTACAGACCTCAAAAACAAACAGATCCCATAAAGCCACATATGGCTCCTCCCAGACACAAGAGTGCTTCGAAGTTAGACCCAAGCTACACACTTGCCAGGTGTTATCGATTGACAGCCACCGGCTGGATCCGAACCACACCTCCCAACATGCCTCACTGCTCTACAATCTAACATTATGGGCTTTACAGTTGCACGCGCTGCACACTGGGACTTGTAGTCTTCTAGGATATCTGGCGAAAGAAGAAGCTACAGGCCTGTCTCTAGAACTACCGGCCCGAGGCTTTTCCCACCTCAGAACCGCGCAAGCTTCTGTGGCTATTCCCGGAAAGTCGCTTACCATCAGAGGTCGTTGGAACTGAAGGCACACCGTCGTCACTGTCGGCGGCCATGACGCCGCGCACACCGCGCAAGCCTGTGGGTACTCGGAGACTTCCGCTTCGTCTCACGCAAAGACTCCGGTCTAGGATGGGGCGGGGTCTCGGTGTCTGGGTCTCGTAGGGTCCAACTTCCGTTCAGAGCGGTCCCGAGTGCGGAGAGAGGACCTTGCGCGCGCTGAGTGTCTATTGGCTGAGCGTCCGGACTGAGCGAAGCCACGCCCCTTGGCGATTTCTCTGGGGCTGCGGGCTGGAGACTGCGCACGAGGTAATTTACTTTTCCGTGTGTTCTGGCGGGAATTTGGAACCTCTAAGCTTTGCAGATCTTTTCATCTATACAGCCCAGGGTTGGGATGGACAGCATAGGCTTCCCGGGAGTGGAGGAGAGAGTGCCTCCTGTGCTGAGCTAGGACCACGCCTAGGAGCTCGGGAGAGGTGGGCGCACGGCAGAGAGTGCTTAAGCACCACAACCCCGGAAAGATGAAGTGAGAGGCTTTCTACAGGACACGGGCGGATAGGTAGTAAAGCCACCAACTAATAGGAACGCTTTTAAGACAACTCGCGTGAAGCCGAGCAGTGGTGGCCTTTACTCCCAGCACGTGAGAGGTAGAGACAGGGGTGGGGGGGATCTTCTGTGAGTTCGAAGCCAGCCTAGTGAGTTCCAGGACAGTCTCCAAAGCTACAGAGAAACCTTGTCTCGAAAAACCAAACACACGTGATAATGTGCATAAAGTTAAGGCTTTGGTAGTAGGATAGCAAGAAAGAGCCAATTTGATTTTGACTGTAGAAGAGAGTAACACTGTTGGAAACCAGTCCCCACCACAGGGCGTTCACATCCTCTGGGACCACCGACCTGGATTTCCCTTTACTCAATAATTTTATCAATTGAAAAGCTTCTGCGCCCCGATAAGCCTCTCCGTCTATACAGCAATCCAAACCAGACCAAATCAAACCGAATTAGAAAAAGCCCACATAATGGATACAACGTTCTTGATGGCCTTCCAGCCCCACAGAGACTAGAAAACAAGTCTATTTTCTGGGAAGCAGTTTAAATACCCAGTGGGAGTGGTCTTGAGCATCTCTGGGAGAGTAGTCGTCATTTGGCGGGCTTTCTGAGATGCCACAGGGTTTGGAGGGAGATAGGGTGGGACTTATAATATTCCAAACGTTGGGTATATGGTTGCCAGGGACTAGGGTGAGGCTTCCCCTTTAACATCAATATGCAGCATTACCTGACCTCACTGAGAAAGGAATCACATTCAACTTTTTCCCCATCCCATTAAATAATTTAACAAACATATATTGTGTATAACATATTTGGCGCTGCTCTGAGAAGATTTGGAGGGTACTGTTCTTATTTAAGATAGGGCATACGCCTTTAATCCCAGCATTCAGAGACAGGTGGATATCTTGAGTTCAAGGTCAGCCCGATCTAGAGAGTCCAGGACAGCCAGTGGCTACATAGAAGAACCCGGTGTAGCCACGAGCAAACAAAACAACAACAAAAAGATAGGGTCTCAGGTAGCACAGGCTGGCCTTGAACTTCCTTTAAAACAACAGCAAAAGGGTTATGGGTGTCACCACCACCCTGATTTGTTTTAGCAACAGGGCTTTTCTGTGTAGTCTTGGCTGTCCTGGAACTGTGTATATGTTGATCTCGAATCTGAAGATCCTCCTGCCTCTGCCTCCTGAGTTCTGGGATTAATGAGCCACCACCTCCAGGCTTTTTTTTTTTTTTTTTTTTTTTTAAGATTTATTGTTATTCTTAGCCAGGCATTGGTGGTGCACGCCTTTAGTCCCACCCAGTACGTGGCGCAGGTGGATCTCTGAGTTTGAGGCCAGCCTGGTCTATAGAGCTAGTTCCAGGACAGGCTCCAAAGCAATACAGAGAAACCCTGTCTCAAAAAACCAAAAAAAAAAAAAAAAAAAAAAAAATTATTGTTATTCTTTTTAGTTACGTGTATGTATGTGGGCTTGTGCATGTGAGTGCAGGTGCCCATGGAGGCCAGAGGCATAGAGAAAGCAAGGTCTTTTGATGAAAATGAGGTGCTGACATTTAAACAGGTTTGGTAGGATTATATATAGCACAGCTAAAGATGAGATCAACTTGCTTAACTAACCTCTGCTTCCTGAGCCGAAATGGAAGTAATAGTTCCTGCCTCCTGGCACAGTCAGGTGGAGTGCTCAACACAGTAAAGCACCCACTCTGAGTGTTAGATTACTTTGTAAAAGCCTGTTCTCTCATTTATTTTATTTTTTATCTGTTCAGCCATCCTGCCATTCCCTGTTAGTAATATTTTTGCAGTTAGAGAAAAGATAGCCAGGAAAAGTGTGGCAGCAGTCAGCCAGGTGTATTTTCTCATTACCAATGGCCAGCCAGTTATGATTTACTAGCTCTCTCTTCTCATTGACTTGCCATCTGCTCTCAGGCAAATCTTTTTCCCTCTTTAATTCTTGTTTTCTCATTTCTCTGGTGACTAGGTGACTACTAACGGTTAGTGTAACCATTCTAGCTATCTAAGCAGACACTTATTATCCCATATGCTTAGACACCTCAAACAACCCTTAATCATATATGCATGTTGGTAAGCATCAGGTATATTATATACAAGTGCTCTTTGCTCCTAGGCCCTGCCCTGCCCTGCCCTGCCCTACTCTGCCCTGTCCCTTCTCTTTGACTATTACTAGGCTGCCTTTATAATGATTCCCTGAAGCCACTTGCTCATTTGTCCCATAGTTAGCCAGTACCAAAACCATGGCCATTATCTTAGTTACTGTTCTATTGCTGTGAAGAGACCATGACCAGGGCAACCTTTTTTTTTTGGGGGGGGGCTTTTTGAGACAAGATTTCTTTGTGTTGGTTTGGAGCCTGTCCTAGAGGTCACTAAGATCCATCTGGCTCTGGGATTAAAGGCACATGCCACTACTGCCCATCGCCCAAGGCAACTCTTATTTATAACAAAAACAAACATTTAATTAGGGCCTTGCTTCAGTTTCAGAGGCATGACATTGGAGCAGTGACTGAGAACTGAGAACTTTGCTTCCTGATTCAAAGGCAGCAGAGAGAAAGAGATACAGACAGACAGACTTCCCCCTGTTAATGGGCTTTTTAAACTTCAAAGCCCACGCTCAGTGACACACATGCTCCAACAAGCCCACACCCAATCCAAAAAAGCCACACCTCCTAATCCTTCCCAAACAATTCCACTAACTGGGGACCAAACATTCAAACATATGAGCCTATGGGGACCATTCTCATTCAGACAACCAAGGCATCTTGAAAGCACTTAAATGATAGACACGTTGGGTATAATTGTGCACATGTGTAGTCCCAGTAGTTGGGAAGTAATGACAGGAGAATGGATAGAATGAATGTACATATTAAAAGGGGATTTATTCAAGTGGCTTATAGGCTGTGGTCTGAGTAGTTCAGCAATGACTGTATTCTGGTGGAAAGGCCAAGAATCTGGTAGTTGTCCTGTCTGAGACTGGATGTCTCAGCAGTCCTAATCTGTGCTGAAGTCACCCAGGAATCACTAGAGTGTTGCTCTTCAGTCTGTGCTAGAACCCTGAAGTAGGTTCTGATACCAGGAAAGAATACCCTCAGCAACAGATAGATACACTTGCCAGGGAGTCAGGGCAAGCAAGTAGAAAGCCAAAGTTTCCACCTCCTTGTCCTATTATGTGGGCTGCCTCCAGAAGGTATGGCCCAAATTTAGGGTGTTTTCCCACCTCATATGATCTGTCTTAGGGTTTCTATTGCTGTGAAGAGACCCCTTGACCACACAGCTCTTATAAAGGAAAACATTTAATTGGATCTGTCTTACAGTTTCAGAGGTTAATCTATTATTATAATAGCACAAAGCATGTAAGCAGACAGGCAGCCTACTGGAGGAGTTGAGAGTTCTACAAACAGGAAGCAACTGTGTGTCACACTGTGAAGTTTGGACATAGAGAACTCAAAAGCCCACTCCCCCCCACAGTGACACTACCAACAAGGCAAAATCTACTCCGACAGAGCCACGCCAGAGCCACTTCCTTTGGGCCCCCCCCCCTTTTTTTTTTTCAGACCTCCATATGATTCAATCAAAATCCTTCAGGTGGGGTGGTGGTGGCACATGTTTTTAATCCCAGCACTTGGGAGGTAAAGGCAGGTACATTAACGTGAGCTCAAGGCTGGCTTGGTTTACAGTAGTTCCAGGACAGCCAAGGCTACCCAAAGAAACCCTGTCTCCAAAAAAAAAAAAAGAAAGAAAGAAAGAAAGAAAGAAAGAAGAAGAAAGGAAGGAAGGAAGAAAGAAAGGAAAAAAAATCCTTCATAGGCATGCCTAACTGCTTGAATTTTAGTTGATTACAGACATAGTCAAGCTGACAACCAAGATTTAGCATCACAGAGGACCAGAAGCATGAAGCCAACCTAGGCTACATAGTGAGACCCTGTTTTGAAAGACAAAAATGGGTTTGGAGAGATGGCTCAGCATTGAAGAGCACTTGCTGTTCTCATAGAGGAATTCAGTTCCCAGAATGCATATGGTGGCTCACAAACAGCTATAACTGTTTGTGATCTGACACCCTCTTCTAGCCTCTGAGCATAGTACATGGTGCATGCATGCAGACAAAAAGGAAAGCTGGGCATACTGAGTGATTGAGGGAGAGGTGGCTATAATTCCTGCAGGATTCCTAAAATGCAGCCTCAGTTTGGCTGACCACAATATCTGTTCCAGATTATCATGAAGAAGCTACGAAGATCCATTAGGAGTCACAGAAAGCAGTCAGTCAACCTCGAGAGAAGGGGAAAATGTGCCCTTAGCAGCAGCCAGGCCAAGCCTTCTGCCCCTGCTGGTAAGGAGCTGGCTCTTGCCAGAGTGTCAAGAAACTGGTTTCACTGACCACACAAGAGGGCACATACAGTCTTGCTGTGTACCAAGGAGTTAAGATGCTAATTCTAACTGTTGCTGTGTAACTTTGGGCCAAAAGTCTGAATGTATTTTGAAAGTAGGGAAGTACCCTGCATGGGTACCTATTCTGCCTAACTAAAAGTATTGAGTTTTCACTTGTGGCCCAGAGAGAACAAAGACACTCTGACAAAATTAAGACCAGAAATTTGGCTGAGGCCACACATAACTAGGCCTAATCTGATTATAGCTCTAAAGCTTGAGTGAAGTATTTGGGTAGGAGAAGCCTTAAATGGGAACAGGCTACTATAGTTTGCTATGCTCTGGATCCCTAATGAACCTGTGCAAAACTGATCTCCGAAAGGGCCAGCAGGATGGCTCAGTGGGAAAAAGCTTTTGCCACATAAACCTAGCTAGTGGCCTGAGTTTGATCTCCAGAATCCACAGAAAGGTAGAAGGAGAGAACCAATTCCAAGAATGCTACCCTCTGACTTCCACATGCACACATGGCATGCTCATGCTTTTGCATCATACATACACAATAAAAATAATAAATATTAAGTACTGAAGAGCCAGGTGTAGTGATTACTCTTGTAATCCCAGCACTTGGGATGTTGTGACAGGAGGATTAGGAGCTTGAAGCTAGCCTTGGCTACACAACAAGTTTGAGGCCAGCCTGAATTGTATGAGATCCTGTTGAGGCTCTACCTCAGAAAACTGAAAAGGGTAGCAGGTAGTTCACAGCTGCCCAGAACTCCAGCTCTAAGGAATCAGATAGCTACCTCAGATACACAAGCACTTAAAAATAATTTTTTTAAAAAAAATTGGAGGTGGGGTTTGATCCCTGAGCATCCTGGCTGTCCTGCAGGCCAGGCCAAGCAGAAGGGAGAGGAGTTACTGCATGCCTCTGTCTCCCCGTACCATCTCTTCAGAGATACAGCCAATGTCGAGACTTTCCGGAGGAACTTGCTCAGCTGGTACGACCAAGAGAAGCGGGACCTACCTTGGAGAAGATGGGTAAGTGGGACAGGGACAGTGGGGTGGGAAGCTGGCACTTAGCCCTTTCGATATTAAATCTCCATCCGTGGTTTCACTGACAGGTAGAGGAGGAGGCCGACTTGGACAGGCGGGCCTATGCTGGTCAGTACAAAACTGGGCTGATTTGCCTGTAAGTCCTGGGGTTTAGGGGTTATGCTTAGGTTTGGGGGCTAGGGGCTAGGTGCAGGAGTGAGTTAGCAGTACCTCATGTTAACCCCCTCCCCAGTATGGGTGTCAGAGGTTATGCTGCAGCAGACCCAAGTTGCCACGGTGATCGACTATTATAACCGATGGATGCAGGTGATGCCAGGGAGGGAGAGGAGGGTGGGCGGGAAAGGGTTCCTCCACCACCCTCACCCTTGACCTTATTTCTTACCTGTCTTGGAACTACAGAAGTGGCCAACACTTCAGGACCTGGCCAGTGCTTCCCTGGAGGTGAGCCACCCTTGGGTAGGGAGAACAGAACCAACTGAGGGGACGACCACTGATTTTTGAACTCTGACATCCACAGGAGGTGAACCAGCTCTGGTCTGGCCTCGGCTACTATTCTCGAGGCCGTCGGCTGCAAGAGGGAGCTAGGAAGGTAAATGGGTGGTGTATTGAAGAGTAGGAGGCCAGTGGCCGGAGATGTCTTCAGGCTGTGAGCCTTTCTACTCCAATCAGGTGGTGGAAGAGCTAGGAGGTCATGTGCCACGTACAGCAGAGACCCTACAGCAGCTCCTGCCTGGTGTGGGGCGGTACACAGCTGGAGCCATTGCTTCCATTGCCTTTGGCCAGGTAAGCCCATATGTCACCTGTGTTTAATCTCCCCTTCCTCCATATCCAGTCTGACTCCCAGGCTCCTCTGTGCCAGGTAACTGGTGTGGTAGATGGGAATGTCGTACGGGTACTGTGCCGTGTCCGCGCCATTGGTGCCGATCCCAGCAGCACCTTTGTCTCTCATCATCTCTGGTAGGATACTGGGATAATGGGAAGTGGGAAGCGGCTATTCATAGGGTTTTTGTTTATGTTAGTGTTCCTTACCCTTAGGAGCCTAGCCCATCAGCTAGTAGATCCAGCCCGGCCTGGGGACTTCAATCAAGCAGCCATGGAGCTGGGGGCCACAGTGTGTACCCCGCAGCACCCTCTCTGCAGCCAGTGCCCTGTGCAGAGCCTGTGCCAGGCGTACCAGCAGGTGAGCCTCCTGAGGAAGAGTTGGGGTGCCCTAGTGAATGACCCTTGCCCTATGACACTCTCCTCTATCTCTCTCAGATGGAGTGTAAGCAGCTCTCAGCGTTGCCAGGCAGTCCTGAAGTAGAAGAGTGTGGTAAGCACCAGCTCTGATCCCAGCCCGCCCTCATTGCCCTGCCTTCCTGCCTTTTCTTTTCAAGACAGGGTTTCTCTGCATTGTTTTGGAGCCTGTCCTGGAACCCACAGAGATCCTCCTGCCTCTGCCTCCCGAGTACTGGGATTAAAGGCATGCAAGAAGATTCTGTAGTGGCGCTAAGCCTCCCGCTGGGCTTGGCACCTAAGGCCACTTGCGGAGCAGAGTTTGGGATCTTTGTTTCTAGCTCTCAAGACTAGACACTGCCAGCTTTGCCTACCTCCCACAAAATCCTGGGACCCCACGCTGGGAGTGGCCAACTTTCCTCAAAAGGCCAGCCGCAGGCCTCCCAGGGAGGAGTACTCTGCCACTTGTGTTCTGGAGCAGCCCAGAGCCACTGGGAGTCCCCTCATCCTGCTGGTGCAAAGGCCTAACTCAGGTACCCGAATATGGGGATTAGAAGGCAGTGTCACAAGCAACAGGAATAGAAGGGGGAGCAGAAGGAGCTGACCCCGTATCCCTGCCATCAGGTCTGCTGGCAGGATTGTGGGAGTTTCCATCTGTTGCCTTGGAGCCCTCAGAACAGCAGCCGCACAAAGCCCTCCTGCAGGAGCTGCAGAGCTGGTCCGGACCCCTCCCAGCTACACGTCCCCGTCACCTGGGGGAGGTAGGTTAGCAAAGGTGCCAGGTATCCAGGAGTGAGAGCTTTTGTGTTCATATTCACAGACCTGGTTCTGCCCCTTCTCCCCCCAGGTGACCCATGTCTTCTCTCACATCAAACTGACGTATCAAGTGTATAGTCTGGTGCTAGAAGGGCAGACCCCAGTGACCCCCGCCCCTCCTGGTGCTCGATGGTTGACTTGGGAGGAGTTCCACACTGCAGCTGTCTCCACTGCCATGAAAAAGGCACCACCTTTGTGGTCTTTTCTTGTTTGTCTCTTACATGTTTTACATGAACTTACTGCTGTGTAAACGAAAAAGAAATGTCTATTTTAAACAAGATTGCTGGGGCTGACCATAGGCTGGGGTGGAACTCAGGGTATTGGTTCTTTCTGGAGAAGGTGCCAGCCCTGTTTTGTTTCCTCCCACCTCCATCTTGGCTAGGTGTTCCGCATGTATGAAGACCATCGGCGAGGGACCTGCAAGGTGAGCCTCAGGAGGCTCATCCTGTCATGTGGTGGTTTTTAAGTCACTTACTCACATTTTGGGATAAATGTTATCCATTCCAGGTTTCACTGGGGGCAGTTTGTAGAGAATGATTGTACAGTGAGAACTACAGGGTAGAGGGACAAGGACATTAGTGTGGGTTCTGGTGTCACAGGTAGATGAAGTGTTTGTGCTGGGTTTTGTGAAATGTGGTAGGGAGCTATTTCTGAGACAAAGATCAGGAAAAGCTGCTTAATGAGAATAACTGCTCGTTTGAGTTCTAGAAAAGGTTTATCTTTATTATTTTTATTATGTGTATGTATCTGTGTATATGTACATTGATTGTAGTGCCCATAGTGGCCTGAAAAGGGCATTGGATTCATGGATTGATGTTATAGATACTTGCTTTTGAACCATGCAACTCAGGTCCTGGAACTTGCTTTGTAGACCAGACTAGCCTCAAACTCTCAGACATTTGCCTGCCTCTGCCTCCCAAGTGCTGGGATTAAAGGCGTGTACCACCACCTGGCTACCACATACACTTTTAAGCACTGAGCCATCCCCCTACTCCCCACCCCCTTGAGATAGTTTCATGTAATGTTGGTCTCACCAACACTGTAGCTGAAGGTGATGTGGTTGAACTTCTTTGATCCTCCTCCATCACGAGATTCTAGGCCTGTGCCTATCATACCCACTTCTATCTAACACTAGGACCCAATCCTAGGACTTTGTATATGTTAGGCAAGCCCTCTGTCAGCTGAGCTATGTCCACTATCGAAGCTTTGCACTTTAGCTAGATTTTCTTTGGCACCTTTTAGTATTGACTAAAGGGATTGGTACTTGAGGGCAGGTGGAAAATTCCACAGCATTAGGCTAGATTAGTAGAGCAGGCAGACAGAAGATTCCCTGATGTGTACTCATTACCTCCCATCTTTGGATTTTGCACAGGGTTCTAAAAGTAAAAGATCCCGGGTGTCTACTCCATCAAGCCGGAAAAAACCCAGCCGGGGCCAGCAAATCCTGGATAGTTTCTTTCAACCTCATATTCCCACGGACATACCCAACAGTGTGGCCCAGTGACAGCCCTGTGAAGCCTACCCCAATTCCAGTCTAATAAAATGCTTATTTTTGTAGTCCTTTTGGAGAGAACATCCCACACTTTCTCTAGCCCATTTACTTACTTGTGAGAGGCTAAGAAAATGGTAAAGTCGGCTTGGTTCTGACTTCATCTGGCTGAGCTCCCAGACAGCCCTGGAGGCTGGATGCATGCATTCTGACTTGAGTGTTCTTCCCCAGTAAAGAGTGAGGGCAGCTGCAGAGAGCACCTGTCTGGCTGACATCCATTCTGGGTCTCAGGCTCTGATTGGAGCAGGTGGTTGGATTGATTAACCCTGACCTAGTTTGTCTGCACCTGCAGCCATTGCTCCCTAGGGAGGTCAACACAGAGGAGCGGTTGTATTAAATTCCTTTTTATTTAGGGTACATTTCCTAAGTAATGAAAGCACAAGTGTTAATAATCACAAGACCTGAAGGGTTGATGGGAAGGAAACAAAGAAGACGCAAGGACTCCAGAGTGTCTTGTGACCTCATTTCTTTATTACCTAAATGTGTTAGTTGGACATTTTAGGGGTTATTGTTTTAAATCCCATCTCTTTAGAGTCTAGCAAGAGACTACAATTGGTAGAGCCTGGTTGAAATGAAGACCTGCACCTGGCCCTGAGGGGATGGATGGCCTTTATCTGGGGTGTGGCCCTGTGGAAGTGTGTCACTCCCAGCAGGCCTGTGCTGGACTCCTCAGAGCACTTAAGTCTAATGGCAATACCCACAATCTACCCGGATTTAGGTTCCTTGGGCCCTGGCAGCTTCCTCTTGCACTGACTGCCATAGTGCCCGGATGTTGTTCTGGCCAAAGCCTGTGGCCCCTTGTCTCTGAATCAGTTCCAGAAAGAAGGTGTCCTCAGGGAAGAGAGACTTTGTGAAGACCTGTAGCAAAAATGTGTCTTTATCGCCATCTAGCAGAATTCCCTGCCGTTCTAGAAGGCTGGGTTTATGCCCTGCAGCTATGATTTGTTCCTCTTTGCCCGGCTGCTGGTAGTAGGCTTCAGGAGGGGTCAGGAGCTGGACTCCCGCCTTCATCATCCCCTCAGAGGCTTCCATGACGTTAGGAGTGTACAGTCCTACATGCTGCAGGCCCGGCCCCCTGTGCCGGGCTAGAAATTGCTCTACCTGGTCCTGTTTGCTGGTAGGTCCTGGTAGGGATTCTGCCAGAACAAGGGTGGGGACAGTGCTGTCAGGCGGGATCTGCAGGGCAGTAAGCCTTAGTCCCCCTCGTCCAGGCCCTGCAGCCACCTCAAGGCCCAGCTCCGGATCTTCACCTGGGCTCAGCGGCAAGTGACAAAACCCAAGGCAGTCGTGGAACCAGCGCCTAAGTATAGGGGAGGTGCCAGAGGTGCAGGCCAAGGTCAAGTGGTCCACGTGGCTGACCCAGCCAGGGTCAGGTGTGCAAGGTAGCTGTCTGAATCCCGGCAGGAAGGATCCGCGATAGCCAGCACGCTGAAGCAACGTAAAACTTAGATTACCGGCCGGAGAGTTTATCACTGTGTAGATGGCTGTGCCCTGTGCATCCTTCACGCTAGTGGGAGGTACCGGCATGATGCAGCCCCGTGACGCCAGCGCTCGGGCGGCGCCGTCCACATCCTCCACATCGAAACACAGGTTCGTGGCGCTGGGCACAGAGTGATGTGAATCCAGGCCATACAGTGGCTCCCCTGGCCCCGAGCCCTCGTTCACTAGAAAGACTGCATCTCCGCTGCGCAGAGCCAGCTGTTTCCAACCACCTGCTTCCCGCACCGCCAGGGGCTGGAAGCCGAAAAGACGGTGTAGGTCCTTCGCTAGGGGCTGCCCAGCTGGCACATGGAAAGCAACATGGCACAGTCGGCGGGCGGGAGCAGCCATGGCGAGCCCAATGGCCGGTCACCCAGCCCTGTCCTGGGACCGCTCACTTCTCCAAAACTCTTGGTCCAAGACTGGTTATTGGAAGCCGATGGAGTTCAGGTCTGCCAGAAGAGTGCGTTCTTTGGTCTTTTCTGGGCAGAGGTCACAGGCAGACCTTGGAGGATTGATACTCTCTTCAGCGCAACCTCAAACTGCAAGCTGGCTGAGAACCGCAGGCTCTGGGGGGTAAAATTGTATGAGAACCACGTGGACGCTGAACCGAGCGGTCCTGAGGTCGGGGTGGAGCCTGAGACTCCGCCTTTGACACTCCCTCTCTCCCAGAACCGTCTCCTCGGGTACAGCCGGGACGAAGGGCAGTTCCTTCCCAGAGCCACGGACCAGGTCACACCCTTGGCACTGAGCCACCCCTTCTGGGGCCTGGGCAGTCACAACAGCCACCTTCACTCGATGCCAGGCGCACTCTTCCCCAGACTCAGAGCTAGGCTTCTGCCCGGGTGGGAGAGGAGCCCGAATCGTTCCTCCACAAGCACGGAATTTCTTAGTCTGGTGCTTTTTCCTCTATGATTCAGTAAGTCCTAGTGCTCCATTCATGTTTTATTTAATTTTCTTAATATTAAAATATTTTCAGTTACAGATTTTCAATCCCTAAACGGGGCGGAGAAATGGGTCAAAGAGAAAGTATTTACATATCTTTCCAATCATCCGGGCAATCTCAACTTTATCTGCCTTTTCAAATCTACTTCCACATTTAATTGAGACTTGAAGGGAGGAAAAAAAGATCCTAAAAATACTGTTGCATTTTGTTTGTTGTTCTATAAGGAACTACTGTTCATCGCTGTAATAGGACTCCAACTACAACTCAGGCCTTCCTTACTCTTTAAACTTCCTAAAGATAGGAGCCAGGGGGCCTAGGATGAGTGAGAGCACTAGAATGTCTTGTGGGATTTCAGCTAGAAGGTTCTTGAATTAAGGTTAGACAAAGACATTGAAAGGACAAAATGCAAACCTTAAGAGAAGATGCAAGCCGAATTAATCGTGATTGTGCCAAAAAAGACATTTGTGAGGGACACCATGGCCCAGCCAGAAACTCCTTTGTCAGGGAGTGAGAAGGTTGGCTGCCATAGGGGACCAGACTTAGACTAACAGGCTTGGCTGGGTGTTCAAGTAAGAGGGGAAGGCAGGACCTCTTTTGCTGACCAGTGGTCAGAACATGGATTCTGGGTTACTTTGCATGCATGACTTTGGTCATGTTGCTCTATTAGTTGGAGTTTTCTTATCTGCAAAAAATGGGATTTCAGTGCCTCTGTGCTGGGGATCAAAACCCATGGTCTCACACATATTAGGCAAGCATGCTATTTAATTACACTTCCCCTTTAACCCAGATTGCTGTGGTTAAATGAGACAGTGTTCAATCAATAGTAGCTGTTGCTGTAGCTATTGTTCTATTCTCATTACACAGTGTCAATGGTACCTCCCAAAGGGTATTGGGTAACCTATTTGGGGAGATGGGGTGGGGGGCAGAGACTACTGGCTTGGGTGAAAGGCCAAGTCAAGGAGCAGCTCTGATAATGGCCCAGAACAGGCTGTAACTCACTTCAGGAAGTCTTGCAGCATTAATTCCTGACTTTTTTTCTCCCCTTGAAAGACCTAAAAAGTAATGTTAATGATGGACTAACCTAGAAACCAATATCTGTTCCTTGGAATTTGCTAGCTTCCTCTCACAGGGCCCTGAGATAAGAAGAATTCACACTGCCCCTCCTTTCCTGTGAGTCAACAGGTGGTAAATAGGGTCAAGAGATAGCTGTAACTCTGGTTTGCCCAGACAAGATTAATTAGCACACCTGAGGCCCTGGGGTCTGCTGACCCTAATAGCAGACCATCCGGCCTCCAAGGGTCACGTACTCAATGGACAGAGGGTCCCACCCCCTCCCTAAGCTTGTGGGTTTGCCTTTAAAAACACCTGGGCCCAGGGGAGGGGGCTTCTCTCTAGCCTGCTTGCTGGAGGAGCCCGTTTGCACAAACGTTTCCTGTTCATTAAAGCCTCTTGCGTTTTTGCAGCAACTGGACTGGAGATTGAGTCCTTGGGGTATCAACCGAACCTGGAAGACTCCTCATTCTGAAGGTCTTACACCCTGATGCTAGAGATTGAACTCAGGGCCTTATGGATGCTGGGCAAATACTTTTTATCATTGTGCTACATCCTACAATCCCCTCCCCCATCCTTTCCTCTCTCGTATCCCCTTGGACCTTAGCTTCATCCCTCTAAGATTTCTAAGCCTGAATCCCTGTACAAAGTATAAGGACGGCCTTAGGGAAAGGTGTGTCCCAGTTACAGCCCAGCTTACTTTATTGTTTGCTGCATGACCGTGATTAATGCAGCAAGTCTTAAACCTGTATAATCCAGCTCACTTTCCCCCCAAATACTTCATACTGAGCAGGGTGCTAGTGGCTGGTCTCATGCCAAAACCTTAACTGACTGCAGATAAATGAAACTTTTAGATAGTGGAACCCTAGAGGCCTCACCTGTCCTTCCACCAAACAGGCAATGTCCCTATCATTAGACCCTAGATTGTGCTGATTTTCTCAGACGTGCAGCTGAGGAATTGCAACCTACGGAAAGGCCTAGGCTTTACACCCTGAACCTGGGTCTGATAGTGTAGGGCCTGGACTAAGGTGGCTTTGACCCAGATATTAGTGGGTTTAGGTCAGACTACACAACCAAGACAGGAGGGTCACCTTGTAGCCTCAAAGGCAATACATATTTAGGGCCACTCTTAGAGGACTTAGGAAGGCCCTGTTTTTGGTAGATTCTGAGAAAGGAACCTGGAAATATGGCTCTCTGTGAACGCTAGAACATAAACAGGCTTCCCTGAGTTTTTATAGTCAGGGCTTCATAATCTGTAACCCTCTAAGTCTTTGACTCAGACCCAGACATTTGCTTTCAAGTGCCCCAAATACAACGAAGTAGGTATAAACAAGACACTGGCCCTTCACACCCCACTGGCTCGGGAAGGGAAAGACAGGGCTTATGGAAACTAAGTGGTATGTATGTGTATATGATGGTTTTAGCGGGGGAGTGTGATGGCGGGAAAAACCAACACACTTGACACAGGTAACAGACAGACTGGGCTTTCAAGGAGTGAAGGCATCTGCAGGTGCTGGTCCCCTGTGGCTTCCAGAACGTTACCCACAAACTGGCTTCTCAGCAGGACGACTGCCCTCCTCCTTGGGTCCCCAAGACTGAAGCGATACGAAGGACTCCACTGGAAAGAAACTGGAAAGAAAGTCCGCAGGCCAGGGAGAAGCAAGCTTCTTGCCACTCCTGCCTTGGGTGTTGGCTAGGTCAAGTGAGGTAGAGGTGATCTTGGGCTGTGGAAAGCTGAGGAGTCCAAGTCCTGCCACAGCGCCGCTCCTGCAGCTGCTGACTCTAAACCTACCCGACAGCAGTAGCTCGCTAGGAAATCCTAGCTCTTCGCACCCCAATCGAGAGGGACCCACAACCTTGATCGCCCCCGGCCCCGCCCCCGGGGCCACCCAGTAGCTCACTCCTTTAAGGATCTGCCACTCCCAAATCCTTCCTGGTCCCGCTCAGTGCTCTTTTACCTTTCCCTTCCGCCGGAAGCGCCTCCGAAAGCTGCCCCATTTTTGGATCCGCCTCCATTCTCGCTTCATTGCTGAGGGTTGGCTCAGAAAAACTTCCCAGGGAAGGTGACTTTAAATTTTTTTCGAGTTGTAAAATACACATATTTACTAACGAATTAAAACACCACCACCAACACATACAGGGTATCCTGGTAGCCCAACTGGTCTCTAACTCGTTCTGTAACTGAGGGGACTTTGAACTGAAGATCCTGCTGCCTCCAGAATGCTGGGATTATAGGTTTATGAAATGCTAGGAATGGAACCTAGGACCCGATGCATATCACCAACTGAGCTACATCCCCAGCTCCCAATTTAGCTTTTAAATGTGATAGTAAGTACATTTAAGCCGGGGAAAGGCTGCAGGACAGGCCCCTAAATGAAAGGAGCTAGTCGAGAAGGCAGGAGGGAGGGAGGAAAGGGAAGAAGGCAGAAAGTGTGTGTGTGGCAGGTAGCTCCAAGGTAAAGGGCTTCCCTAACATATTACAGGCTCTGGGTTAATACCCAAAACAGTAACACCAAGATAGAATGTCAAGTACTGTACAAGTCCATTTTCATGAGGTCCATTCCTGGAGTAGTTAAAATCATAGACACAGGATCAAGGGTCTGGTCAGCTTCAGTGTGGCAAGCATGACAGGCAGGCCTGGTCCTTCTCCCAGGTTTCCTCTGCCTTGGTAAACAAACAAACAAACAAACTGAAAGATTTTAGTTTGCAGCAAGGATATGAGAAAGGGGCAGAAGAATAATTCTTGCAAGCGGAATATAGAAAATCATAAAGAATGGACGTGGACATGGGAGGAAAAAACAGAAATTATGAGAACAAGAAAGGTTACTGTGGTGATGGGGCTAGTGGTTATATGCTAGGCTGATCTTGTTAAATAGGGCTAATAACTGAATCATCAAACCTTTGTGGAATAACTGAAGGCTCTAAATGTACAGCCAAGAGAAAGCCAGAGTAGAAAAAAGTTTTTCACAGGTCTTGGACCACAACAAGGAAATAAGCCCCCAATCCTGGAACAAATGGTCCCAGATGAACAGCCCTGTTTGGGTCACTCCTGGCCAATGCACAGTCTGGGGACTTTCCAAGTCATTCTATGGTTTATCCTTTGAATAGGAACAGGTCATACCTGGGTGATCTGTCAAACATGAGATCATACTTTGTAATCAATCACCTTGTGCCCTGTGCATGTATGCTGATTGTGGTCTTCTTTATAAAAATAGAGCCTAAACCCTTTGGGGTGTGTGCAGCTTTCCGAGAGATTGCTGTCACCCGAGTGCACTCGTTCAATAAACACATCTTGCTTTTTGCATCTCCTGGTTTTGGCGTTTGTGTCTCAGGGCTCTCCCATCGACCCATCAGGACCCCGGAATTAGAGTTCAACAAAACAAC